TACTGTCTAAAAGTAGCAAAAATATATTAAAAAAGGTAAAATTGCTAAAAATAGCAAATTACTGTCTAAAAGTAGCAAAAAATATATTAAAAAAGGGACAAGAAATACCTAAAAATGGCAAACGACTTAAAGTAGCAAAAAGCTAACTCAAATGAAGAAAATAAGTAGCTAAAAATAGAAAATGACTAAAAGATAAATGTAGAACAGGGTATCTAAAAGTAACTAAACATTACCCACAAGCTAGAAGAAGCAAAAAGCTAACTAAAGGCAGCACAGAGTTAAGCTAAAATTGACAAAAGACTGACTTAAAGTTTCAACCAGCTAGCTAAAACCTAAAAGTAGCAAAATGACAGTTAAAAGTAACATAAGACAAAAACAGAGCCAGTAAAGCACAACGATGTTATTGTATTTTGAAGGGGCAAATATCCCTAAATAAAGTTAAATAATTWGAAAAGCCCAAATGTTACAAAAGCCAGAAGTTGTAGCATCCATCCCCTGAATGAGATTAAAGACTTGATGCAGAAAAAACTAATGTAGCACTAGGTATGCAGAAGTAGTTTTAAAAAAACATGCATGACAAATAAAAAGAGGGAAACAATAATGAGAAGTTATATCAGTGGACTTACTCGTATCGTCCTCCTTGGAGCTGATGGACTCTGTGATGCTGCTCGTTCCATCTCCTTCCTCGTCTTCTTCCTCGTTAATATCTCCATTAGAACAAAGTTCGTGCTCAAGACTRGTCTCTTGGCTTGGAGAGGCACTAATGGAGAACTCTTCCTGAAATTCAATGAATGCCTCACTCCTTTCTGTTAAAAGGTCCCAGCTTTCTGTCGAGTCCTTCTCGTCTWGTTCACCTTTTACCTCTCTCTGACTTTGTGGTGCATCGACTCTGTCCTTTGTTTTGGTTTGAGAAGTCGTGTCCTCGTGATGTGCTGGAGTGTGCTCGTCGATCGGTTGGGGGTGAGACGATGGGACAAAAGAGAGTTTGGGTTTCTTGGAGACTGCTGGGGGCTTCTGTTTGSAGGGAGAACTTTCACAGCTTTGTGGGGGACTGGGCGGTGATTTCCCGTTTTCATTTCCTTTAAACGGAGAGTAACTCTGGTKCTCGGTTTTTCCATTGATGACATCACTATCTGCTGTTTCGCCTGGGATYCTGCAGTCTAGCGACAACTCTTCCAGAAGTTTCGACACAGGCGATGGGGAGGACTTCTGCAAATCCTCCTCTGCGGAGCTGTCCAGCAGGGTGAACACTGCAGGATTCGTTTGGGGGTAGTGTTCCAGGGTCTGAGGTTTCAGACCTTGAATGGTTTCCATTGTCTCCTGAGTTTTGATGTGATCCAATTCACCGTTGATTTGGTTCTCTGGCCGTTTGACTGAACGCAGCTGAACACTCTGCAGGGCGAATGGAGTAATGAGGGGCTTAGTGGACTTTGTTGGGATGGTGGACAGGTCTGGTTTAGGGGCAACCTTCACTGCCTTCTTGGGGGGGAAGGATGCATCTACGAGAGGAGGCAAAGGAGGAGGTGGAGSGGGAGGACTGAGGCTCCCGTTGAAGGATGAACTGGTGTGAATCAGCAGATCGGGGGAGGGAGGAGGAGGGAATTCTGGAGAAGCGCAGCAGGCAGGGAGTGGGCTCGTGGAATCCCCCCACGGGGTGTTGGTGAAGGGGTTGGGGAGTGGTGGGGGAGAGGGGGAGTCTGTATCAGAACTCAGTGGGATTGGTGGAGGGAAGGGTGGAGGAGGGTTGAGAGGGGTGCTGGGAGCTGAGGAGGAGAGAAGCAGCAGGGGAGGAGGAGGAGGAGGAGGTGGGGGAGGACCAGAGCTCTTGAGTGAGTCTGAGGTGTTGGAGGAAAGAGACGTAGAGGAAGAGGACACAGAAACTGAGGACAAGAGAGAAGACTTCCTCTCTGGTACTCTGGGTTTGGGTCGACTGCCGGAGGGAGACCTGCTGATCAGAGCAGGGACAGGGGTTCCAGCTGTGGGGGTGTTGGACTGGCTGGAGTAGCCGCTGGATGGGGAGGTGAGTCTGTGCACCCTGTCTGGTGAGGAGCTGGAGGGTTTGATCTTCATCGACTCCCCTCCCTCCCGACCTGGAGCCCCCTGGGCCTGGTTGTCTCGAGTTTCTCCTCCGTTCTGCGAGGCTTCTGGATGAACCCCGGCCGAGAGGCTTTCTGCGCCCTGCGTTGAAGGAGTCTGCGTCTTCTGGTCCCCGTTGTTGCGAGGGTAGTCCGAATAGTATCCCCAGGAATCYGCATAGTCGGAGCGTAAGCTGCTGGTGTCACTGGGGGTTGGCGTCACGTGGCATAAGGAGTACGCGTTGGATACGCCGCCACAGTTGGCCGCCAGCGACGCTGCAGAGCTGCACGCACTGATGCTGCTGTGACTGCGCGGTCGCAGCACCCAAGGGTCGTCGTAGTCGCTGCTCGGACTGTGAGATGGCGAAGACGGCGAGGCGCCTCTTCCCTTTCCTCCCCTCAGTCCCATCTGTAAGCTCTGCTGCAAGCTGGCAATGAGGGTTTCACTGAGCATACCGTTGGGATGATCGGCTCCGCCGGCGCTGCCGAGAGGCTTTTTCACTCCGGGTTTGCGTCGGAGGGAATCCGTACGAGACGGAGGAGGCGGAGGCTTCTTACACTTACGAAGGGAGATGCTGCGCGACAGGGAGCGGTCGCTGTAAAGGCTCCCCGAGTCCTCCTGATTGGACAGCTCGCGGCACTCGTACATGCTGTGTCGAGCGGCCCGGCCCGCCGCCGCCCCGTGCCCGCTGCCGTGACTCCGAGAGCGCAGGCCCGAGTCCAAGTGCATCGAGGTGAAGTAGCCATCGTTGTCTTGGGAGTACAGGGAGCTGGAGTCCGTTGTGGTCCTGGAGGAGTGGTCCAGGCTGCTGTACAGCTGGTTGATGGGAGTGGAACAGCTGGAGGTGAGAGTGCGGTGTTGAGCGACGACGTTTTCAGGTGTGTCGTAGATCCACTGTTCTTCTGGTGGGCCGCACGGAGGAGTGGGGGCTAAGGTGCTGTGGCTGTGAACGCTGCTGTCTGAGCAATTCAACTCATTGACTGATCCGCTCCCCTGGGCCGGGTGTTTAGGAGTAGAAGTGGCCAAAGCTGGGCAGGTGGAGCTGTGAGAAAAGGGTGTCGGACTGGAGACCAGAGGATCGGTGTTAGTGGGTGGTTGAGGGGCGTTGTACGCCGACATTGGCGAKTGATGTGAAGGAATGGACGTCTTGAGGGTAATGACCTCTGTGGAGCCGGACAGGGTGGCATTGGGGATGTAGGAAGTGGAATAGGCAGCCTGAGGAGAAACCACGCAGGCTACGCTGCCGTCCCACTCACCAGACTGCGTCCCCCTCACCTCCTGGGACTTGGGCCTGGGCAAAGAGTTCGTCCTGGGAGCGTTCCTCATGTGCACCACCGTACTGTCGACCTGAAACTTCCCGATCTGCCGCTGAGGCCGATCGTCGGGCTTGATGGGCGTGCTGCTGTAGATGGGATCCGCGCTGAGGGACACCCTGGCGCCCTGCCGGGGCAGGCTGTGAAAACGTGAGGGGTCTCCGTTGAACTGGTGCATCATCACGACGCCGGAGCTGTCGGTGCTGGAGATGGAGATGCTTCCTGTCGAAGAGGAAGCGGATAAGCCGGCCATCTGAGCGGCGATGCCCTGTCCTCTCTGCGCCCGGATCCTTCTCATGGACGGGGGCACGACCTTCACCTCCTCCGTCTGGCAGCTCGTGTCTCTGGTCTCAGAGTGTCGGAGGGTTGAGTTGACGCTTCCAGCTCGGCCCAAAGTGGAGTACTGTCCCGGAAGGAACATGGAATGCGGCCGAAGCTCTCCACCCCGTGCTTTTATTGCTGAGGAACAAATAGAAAATAAAAATGTGATTGAGAAATCTGTTTTTCTCTTCGTCCAGTACTACATTTTCCCTCTTGTCCAGAACTTCCTCCCTCATAAAACCTTCTTTCCAGCTGCCAGATAAACTGTTCACAGAGAAGCTTTTTAATTAGATTAGTCGTAGCCCTGTCATTTGTGTTAAAAACACCTGGTCTTCTTCATTAAGGAGGAAATGACATGAGAGGAAACAGAAACACGACCGACGCACTCTGAATCTGGCTCTAGCTCGGTCTAATAGAAAAGCCAATCATCTCCTGGGGTCTGGTGAAGCATGTGGCAGCCAACACGTCGGCATCAAAAACACAACGTTACGAAGCTCGAATCTAATCACAAACAACAGACTGTAAACTATGCGCCGACACAAGGACATACACAAACGCAGACACACACTGACCGTACCTGCTGGTGCACAATTTGAACAGATGATGTCTAACGTGTTTCTCATTTGTGGCGTCTCTCCTGGTGTTTGTACACCCAAAAATCAAACACACCTCCTGCGTCCTTTCCCTTCTTCTCTGTCTGTCTCTAAACCACACATACACTCTTCTCCCTCCTTTGCTAAAAGCTGAACTGACAGCTTGGCTGCTGCTGCTGCTGCTGCTACTGCAATAGATTAAGCTGCAGCTCTGGTGCAAAAGGAGGGAGGGAAGAAGCACTGGGACAATTACCCCAGCTCCAGTAATGATGACAGTCAGGTGCCGTGGTGGACGGGGCACAAACCAGACTTTAAAGCCCTTCTCCTATCAGCCTCGGTGACCTCAGAGATGCTGCTACAACATGACATGTAAGTAAACAGTGACGGTGCACCGTCAGAGCACAGCTTAGAGAGCTTAACACCCAATTCAGCTGAGTAAGGCTGGGGGACGTCTGGATCATCATATTTAACATGAACTCCACAACAGTTTAGGAAACATATATTTTTAGAACAACACTATGAAAAGATGATGAGTTTAACTTATATGTGACCCATCATATCGAAATGAGGATTAAGTCAAATCACATTTTCAGATTCTTGGCTTTAAAAGCTACATTTTGATACCTGGATCATTCTGATATCACAAGTAAATCCACATATATGACTTAATTTGTCTTGTTGGTTACAATAATACATAAATATTTGATCTGAAACCTAATTTTATGTAAATTTCATGAGGAATTTTTGATGTCCTTATAAAGAGGAAACCTCAAACTATATTTGAATATTAAGATTTTCCAGATGAAATGAAACAAAACCTTCCTAGCTCACTTTAAAGGCATTTTTCCTCAAAATCAGTGTTTTTGTTGCTACTGCTCAAAAAAAGTGCTTCAAAATTTTGTTTTGTGATTCAGAAAGTTCATTCAGATGATACACTGATAAGGCATTTATTCATTATGTTTTGACAAAATGCAATTTTTTACAAACATTTTAATCAAAACAGTATATTTGCCTATTTCTCCACTTTTAGACTTAATCCTTGTTTTGATATGATTGGTCACATATAAGGGTTGCTGCACAAAACTCGTATCTCAGAAACACCCCAGAACACGAGCCTCTTGTGTTTCAAACCAATAAAAAGTTGAGTTGTAACCACAAAACCGCTGGAAGGGTTTCATAGTTGATTTTTAGCCATGAATGCTTTTTTTAACTGGGTGGAGTAGAGTGGCTGAGGTCATCTGCAGAAAACATCTGTAAGGCTACGATCCAACCTCCCTCCCACTGAAAACAAATGACTCATTACTTGTGGTTGTGAGATAAATAACAGAATGTCTGTTGAAAGTGACGACCAAATGAAAGGTGTTCAGAACTGCAGACTGTTGGAGCTCCGCGGTAAGCCATACCTAGCTCCTGGTTGATGTTGTCAGGCGGCCCTGATATAGTCTTTCTGCGTTTGACCTTCCTGGGCCGGCGGGACATGGTGTCAGTGTTAATGAGGGAGCGGCGGATGCTCGCCTGGCGGTCAAACACTGCCCCTGGTGGCCGGGAGAGCAAGAGAGCGTAGAGCAGGCGGACACACAGGCAAAGAGCAGTTGGTTAGTTGAAAGGAACAAACTCAACAACATGCAGAGGGTTTCAGGTTTTTTTTTTTTTAAGTTGAAACATGCAACATTAACAGGGTGGGGAACACGAGGGTCAGTTCAAACAAGTTACAAGAAAACACCTCACCTCTCCACCTCCATCATGGCTGAATAACACTTAGCTGTGTTTAGCCACATTCATCAAATTTGGTGTGGTAGTAGCTGACCCCAACACTGACAGATCACACATCTTTGTTTTAAACTCTGGCATGAGGCTGAACGATGTGCACTCATTTAAGGAATTATCATTTTTCATTTCGGATGCATTAGTTCAGGCTTTGTGGAGCTTTTTAAAATAATAAAAAAAACAAGCTAATAAAAATGTTGATGCTGAGTGCTCAGAAATTTAATTAATTAGCTTATCTGAGTCTAATATGTAATAATAATAATACATTTTATTTGAATAGTAATATTTTTAAAACTCAAAGACACTTTACAAGACTCAAGCAAATATACACACACATTAGTCAAGTACATCAACAAAATCATAAAAGGAAAACACTTCAAATAAAGACTAGCTTTGTCTGAAATTTATCATTGAACCTGCAAGAAGCAAATACCAAATGTTACACTGGCTTTGCCCAAGTTTCTAACAACTTCTGTTAAATTCCTACAATTAACATTTAAAAGCAATTTAAAAGGTATTTATTAGGTTGTGACATTATTGATTAATCTTTTTAGCTGAATACCTCAAGGATAACTTGGATCTAAATGCTAAAAATGGACTTCTAATAAAATAACTACAATACAGTAAAAAATACACATTTGGATCTTGTTTTCAGAATAGTAGTTTGGTTTGTAAATGTGTGTTTAACAGCAGATTCATAAACAAAGACATTTCTGACTTTAAATCTTGGCAAATTCATTACCAGATATTTGAATGTAAAAACTTGTAAATCAGGGCTTGCCAATTCAAATGAATTCCTCCTCCGCCTCATTCATTTGAATGGCGGACGTTTTAGTGTTAATGTTGGAAACTTCTTTTCTGCCTCAGAGCCTCTTTCCTGTGGGGTTCCACAGGGATCGATCCTTGGACCGCTTTTGTTTTCTTTATACCTGCTTCCTATTATTCGCCTCAAAAAAGGTTCTCTATATTAGCCATAGCTAAAATCTAAAACTGACCATAACTTGACCAATTCTAGCCATATTCAGCTGAAATTTAGTTTGGTGGTAGCCAAGAGAAATCCCCAAAAACTGTTGAAAATAATCCAGCACCAAAAGGCAAGCGTTTCTCCAGGAAGTATTCTAGTTGTACTTTAAACCTTCCTTTGAAATGAATAAAACTGTTGGCATTAGCTACAAAGTCCCTATTTTATGAACTGACAGAAGCATTTTCTTAAACAGAAATATCAAAAATAAATAAATAATTAAATGTTTAGTGCCAACTTTACATTTGAGTAACCGAGGTAGTAACGTTTGTCAAAAACATGCAGTTTATACACACATGCACAGGACAGGATGTATGAGAAAGAGTGCTCAAACACACCATCAGTGTTTCAGGCTCCTCTTTGTCTGAATTCACCTGAGAAGACGTGACGTGTCACTCTGAGCTGCTCGTCTCTGAGCTGCTGACAGAGTGATGGTGTTAAAGAAGCAGAATGTGACATGGAAGGCAGAGAGTGTCCAACACGCCAACTCCAAAGTCCCTGATCTGTATGTGTGTGTGTTGAACAGGCTCGGTAACCTGAAGCGACAGTGGGTGGGGTCGATGCTGTGCGCTCGTGGAGTGGGACCGCATTAAGCTCTCGTTATTATCTGCAGGAGACGGAGACTGAGGTTAACTGGCCTTGACATCAGCCGAAGGTGCTGAGGCTGATTTCTGGAGTCTCGCTCCAAAATAATCTAATGGATAAATCTTAAAAAGAAAAAGAAAAAAATGGGAGCCAGTTTTTTTGAACACTGTGTCTTCATAACACAATCACAAAAAAAAAAAGTCACGCCGACAAGAGGATTGTGTCGACACATCGCGCTGTGTACGCCTGTTCATCTGTCAAACGGCTGGTGAGAAGTCATTGAGAAGCCTTGACCTCTGGACAAGCTGTCAAATGAGTTACACACACACACACACACGCACGCACGCACGCACGCACGCACGCACGCATAAAGAAAGGTGAAGGTCAATCTGAGCGGCGCAATGAGAAGTGACAGGAATGTAGAGGAGGCAGACGTCCATGACTGACAGTTTCACTCTGTGGATGAAGCTGTTTATTCTGCATCCAATCAGCCTCAGAGAATAAAATAAAATAAAAAATCCCAACATTTAACTTGTTTCTCTGTTATCTGTTGAGTTATAGAATTTAAAAGAGACATTTAGCTAAAAAAAAACAGTTTTTGGTTTAAAATTGAAAACCTGTTACTGCCTGCTTCCTACATGTGCTGTTTCTTGACTAAATTAAGTTCTCACATCATGAAATCTATTTAAAAACTATAATGATTAAATATTACACTAATTTAAATTATAATGCAAAAGTTTCTAACCTTTAATAATTTCTTTATGCTTTACTTCCAAGMAGGCAGGTTATGTTGTAGACTTTTAAAGTGGTTTGATCAACAGTTTTTCAGACCTTCTGAAGGTCTCTCTTGGTTTTATTTTGGACTTTGGAGGCTTTTTCTTTCATTTAACAACTCACTATGCAACATGACTTAAACTGATGAAAAAAAAACTATCATTAAGATTTATTGAATAAAACAAACACGATTACAAGTGTTAAATAAAAAGTAATACTCCTTGTACAGAACTAAAATAAATGAAAAGTGACAATTTATTTTCACAAACTTATGAATATTTAGTTCTTGGGAGCAAAATAGTTTTGTGTAGCTGCAACATACCTGTGATGTTGATGGGGACCACGTCTGTTGGCACGGCCTGAGCCTCCTGCCTCATCTTCTCCTCCGGGGTCGGGAGGGGCGCCGCTTTTCTCCACACCACCTGTCCGTCAACCTCCGACACGTCTTCACCCCCTCTCTGTGGCGTCTGGGGTCTCACGGAGAGCTGAGATTTGTCGTCTTCCAATGACGAAGCCGTGGACTGTAAGAGGAAAGTGAGGGTTTAAACCTTAACGTGGCTAGGCCTGTCTCGACAGGAAATAAATACTGAATTTATTCATGTATAATACTAGCAATTTAACCCCAAAAGTAATCCATAAAGTGGGGGGAGTAGTATTATACACAGGTTATTGATGATTAGATGTTTTATGCTTTTTAAGCTAAAAAAATGATGATCGTTTTATACTCGAGATCGTATTATACATGAATAAATACGGTAAATAAAAGATTTATAATTTTAATTTTCCTGCATGTCTGTTTTCCTTGTYTCTCCCTCTTTTCTACTCCTCAGTGTAGGGAGGAGTAACCTCTGTAGCATGACAGACCTGTGAACAGGCATTTAGGTAGAGCAGTGTCTTTTGGTTTTCTGACGCCTTCTTCCAGCTGGTGACGCCCTCAGGGCACTGCGCCTTGGTGTTTAGTTTTTTACCTAAATTTCGCAAACTTCACAAGAAGCACGCAGGTGATCGACATTATTTTATGAAGAATGAAGACAAAGAATAAAATGCGCCGGCTTGGATATATAGGTGGGTAGCGATGTCAGGGTTGGGCGATACTGGCAAAAAAACAAAACAAAACAAAAAAATCAGGATTAATTGTGGCATTTAGCCAATATCAATTATGTTGATTATTCAATGACGATTGCACTTGCATGTAGCCGACATTGTGGCCTTGGTTTGCATTTTCTGGCATTCCTTGTACTCCGATTTATGTTGGTGTTTCAGATGATCAAACATATCTGCAGGGTTAGCATCAGCAGCTCTGCACTGCCATTGCTAGCCTGGTTAAAACCAGACCCTTGTCCTTCACTTTGCTTCGTATGAGGGTCTGGACTTCGGCTATATAGAAGTGATTCTTGCTGGAGGCYTGGCCTCTGCTGAAGTTTAAAATGATTGGATCAGTCGGCTGCAAGTATGTGTGCCAGCTCCACTGTGAAGGAGGCTAAGCTAAGAAGCTAACCGGAAATCGCGTGCGCTGTAAACAACCCTACTGAGAGGAGAAAAGGACCGAGCTGAATGAGACGACTGTAAACGATGCTGCTGCTTTGTCAGASAAATTTAATTTAATTTGGAAGCCTTATCAACACAGACTGGCTTCATTCACTTCCTCCACTGCCATAGCTAAACTAACGAGCAGACATTGCGCAGAAAATTGACATTGTTCAAAACTCCGCCTTCTGTTTGCTGATTGGCCCGGGTAAAATAAACTACAATCYGACACTGCGCAGAAAATTGATGTTCTGTTCTCTGATTGGCCCGAATGAAATGCTCCCGAAGCAATAAATCCCAGACAGAGTAGTGAAAGGAAACGAGGAACTGCGTAGGAAGGCAAGTCCAGGCTACTGCCATTGGGCTTATGTGTCGCACACAAGAATACATCATCACCACTAATTGCAGTTAGTTTCTGCAGGTGTTGTTTTCACAAACTCCGCCCCCAATCCATCTCTAACTTATCGTAAATTTTAGTGAGGGTGATGGCAGATTTTTTTTATGAAGCCTGAGGAAGACACATCCAGAATAAATCGTTTCCACAATCCGTAACCTTTTTTTTTTGCGTACATAAATTTAGTAATCTTACTTAATCTTTGGAAGCAGGGGTGGGGTGTGGGTGGGTAT